GAATAATTGTCAAGTGGTGACAATTTGACTACTTCAGTGAGGTCTCCAGTGTGAATCATAAATTATATTTATACTACTATGTTTCATTCATTTGAAAATATCCCTAATACAGATATTGGTTTTTAAAAATATCTGTACCATGAAACTGTGTTATAACAAAAATATATGCAGAACATTTTAATATGATGTGCTATCAAGTTAGGGAGCATCTATAAACCTCTGTTTCTGAGTGTGACAGCAACATCTGGTAAACCTGCACCTCATAATTTCATTTCACTGAACCTACAACCTGACTGTGAAATTATTTTTACCAGCTAATTTATATTAAGCCTTATAATACATGTTGCAAACAATGGACTAGTTCCCAACTTCTTGAGTAGTCATACCTTATCAACATTACAACAAAACATCTCAATAAAGCATACAGACTCAGACCACTGAAACCTAAGTCTCAAAGCACAAACTCTCTATTGATTGCATTTTGATGATACAGTCAAACATAAAAGAAACATAACTTTTATGGCTAAGATTCACTATCAGTACAATACTGCAAAAGATATCCATTCAAAAAATTCTTCAGTCTATCAGATTTTTCTTCAGTTTTATATCATATGAGTACATATTAAACCAGTACAACTGTTAAATGCTGTTACTGTTTAAATGTTTCCTCAGTTCATTTTAAAAACTTCTGGACGTAAAGCATTCCTGAAACTCTTCTGGAATGAAGTAAAGTTACATACATAGGCCTAAAGGATATGAGATCTAAAGACAAAAGACACAACCTTAGGCAAAATGAATGGAGGAAAACACTGCTTAAAATGATGTTCTGCAGATATGCATTCACTGATGTACATTCATGGAAATTCTTGATCAAATATTTAAAAAATGCAGCATAATGAGCAGAAGTAAATATTCTTGACAAGATTTCTATAGATGTGTAACTAGAACGAGTTTTTAGAACTTGAAATTAAGTCTGCTGGTTTGTGAGCACGAGACTGAAGTGTGTGTTTTATAGTGGTCGACATGCAGAAACTTTCCATTTCCCCAGCTCTCATTTGGGTTGACCACACAACAGTCTGTTTGGCAACTGGTTGTTTGTTTAGCAATTCACAGCCTGTAAGAACAACATTCACAAACACTAATTCAAGAACAGTAATGAATCCTTCTAAATGGATATAGAAGTTCACTTTCTGAACTATGTAATAAATTCATGGTTGTAACCAGTCAGTCTTATCATATACAAAGTTACGCTTTTCTTACTGAGATGTCTTCATGGTATTTCTTTTAGTGCACAGTATTAAAATCTGCCAAGTGTGAATGTTAACCTTAGAGGCAGAAAAGGTAATAAAGTAACACTAGGACTTTATGAAGCTTTTCTAGAAGTGAACACATTTAATGATCAACCTTCCTAGGGAAACAAAAAGCATGTGAGAGTGGACTTGACTCATGGGCACAGGGAAAGGCCACAGAACTTCCCCATTGATGTAGTTACTTATTTGGCCTTCATCCAGTTGCCTTTCACCATTAATGGTGTCATGCACCAAAGGAAAACAATAAGCAATGATCACATTTTTGTAGGCTGAAGGTATAAGAGGTGTGGAAGTAAAGGTAAGTAAAGGTACCCTGTAACAGGCCGTGGAGGCCCATAGGGTTGAGATGTTGAGGTTCCCACATTTTCTAGACAATCAGCTCATAGATAGCAGCAAGGTTGTCAGCCCTACACGCCGGCCACCCTTTACCCCCAAGAACATTCCAAGAATATTCCTGGTACTCATTTCTGTTACAAGCTGAGTCGACCCCAGGGCCATAGTGTGGCTGGAAGGATTAGGTCAATTGAAAAAATCCAATGACCTCTTCAGGATTTGAACCCACAACCTTCTGGCTTGTAGCATAGTGCCATAACAAACTACACTACAACGTGCCCCCTATCTGCAGTGTATGGTAAGAAAGTTTGGCCACAGCAAAGTATGTACAGATGGATTGACATGTTCAAAAATGGACAAAGAGATGTTATTGATGAAGTAATATCAGGGAACCAACCCACATTAAGAGGCAAAACATTACTAACGAACTGTGCTGATAGTCTTTGGTGAATTTCTGCACCCCTTAAACCTTAAACTCACAAAAATTGAATTACAGAATGTTGCTGTGAATGGATGTGGTATGGAGAGTGACCATGTTGATGCCAGAACTGAATGACAAAGATCAAGTCAGCCATTTCAACTATATGGAGGTTCCATGCCTACAATTAGGTCTGCATTCAGCAGGGTCTCACACAAGCATGCATGCACATGCACATACAAAATAAAAGATATGGCCATTTTGTGGACATTTTCTGACTCTACAAATATAGAGAGAATGAAAATTTTTCAGATAATATCCAATAAACTCAGTGTAGTCAAAACCTGTGCTCAAGTAATAAGTCCTTCCAAAAGAAAAAAACAACAAATAGCAGTTTTGACAAAGACACAATATATGAGGGGCAGTCAAATGAAAACGGGTCAGAAGCCAAAGCATATTAAAGAACATTTCTTACCTCAAAAGTAATCTCCAAAACTGTTAATACATTTATCCCACTGGGAGATAAGATGGTCAATCCCAGCGTTGAAAAAGCTTGTGGGCTGTCTATGGAACCACATCTTTACCCAGCCACACACATCTTTGTCCGCTGCAAAGTGATGTCCACGAATGTCTCTCTTCGGGTCTACAAAAATGTGAAAATCTCATGGGAAGAGATCTGGGCTGTAGGGGGGGATGCTGAAGCACTTCCCAACCAAATCTCTGTAGTGTATTCCTCACAGAGTTAGCAGTGTGGGGGCACACATTATCATGAAGGAGTATAATGCCATTCGATAGCATTCCAGGGCGTTTTGACTTTATGGCATGTCTCAGTTTCTGCAAAGTGTCTCCATAGCACTGTGCACTGATTGTGGCCCCATGCTCAAGAAATTCGACATGCAGAGGGCCCTTGCAGTCGAAAAAGAACATCATCATCATCACTTTACCAGAACTTGTGTGTACAGCTTTGGATTTCTTCGGTGAGGGAGAATTCACATGTTTCCACTGTTGGCGCTGCTGTTTCCTCTTGGGTTCAAAATGGTGGCACCAAGTTTCATCCCAAGTGGTAATATGGGACAGAAGAGCATACTCTTCCTAATGGTTCGTTGCAAGTGACCAGTGACGCAGTCATTCTCTGAGTCTTCTGTTCCTCCGTGAGTTGATGTGGAACCCACTGCACACGGATTTTGCGGTACAGCAGGTGTTTTGTCACAGCGGCGTGTATGAAACCATAACTTATTCCCATCAAAAGACTAATTTCTTCCACAGTGATCCGTCTGTTTGCCCGGATATGACCATCCAACGCAGCAATAACACCAGGAGTGATGACACGATGAGCCTGTCCTGAGCGAGCATCATCTTGCAGTGACGCACGTCCCTCTTGGAATTTCTTATGCCATGCCAGCACACGCGAATGTGACATTTTGTGTTCGCCGTAAACAAGAAACATGCAATGATGAATTTCTCATCCTCCTACTCCTTCAGCAGTCAAAAAGCGCACTACACTTCGCTGTTCTTCTTTACCCACCTCCATTACTGATGTTGGACCACACGTAGCGCTAACCTTACTTCCAGCACAATAAACAAACGATTAGTGTACAAGGGCACATTGTCACTGCTTTCCCAAGTCCCCATCAGATGTTTGTACCATAAGCAATTCCAGTGTTACCAACTTGCGCGCCATGTAAGTTATGCGTGGTAACCCGTTTTCATTTGACTACCCCTTAAATTTACAACTGTAAGCTATTAAAGCTTTTCTCAATTAGGATTCGATTTTATGACCAGCTGTGAAGAAATCTAGCATACTAGCAACATGCTAAAGCAAATTTTATTGTTGAATTCTAAATTTATATTATCTAAATGTTACATTAACAACACAAGATTTGTAAGATTGAAGTCTGCAAACAGGAAAGTAGGGTTTATGAGAAGAGTTCCAGAGGGAACTGAATGATTTCATAATTTCTAACATGTTTACAAATACAAACTGCAGGTTAAAATCGCATCTAGAAATACTACCATAGCATATGCTCAAATAAGAATTAAAGAAATAGGGTATGGGGATGTGGAATGGATTCAACTGGCTCTGGATAAAGACCAGTTAAGGTATCTTGTAAACATGGTAATGAACATTTAGATTAAAAAAAGTATGAGAAATTTCTGTACCATTTGAATGACGATTAGCTTCTTAATGATTCCACATCATAGAGTGAATTTGTTAATTTTTTGTGAGCTAGCAACACATTATTACTCAAAAACTACTAGGTGAAAAATGTAGGTCAAAATATCCTTACCTGCATGATCCATCCATTCTCAATATCATACTGAATAGAACAAGTTTGGTGGATCTGTGATATGTCAAAAAATACCCAGTAGAATTCACTTGAGCCTTTGTGTTACATTAGCAAGTGCCACTGCAAATGCTTGCAATGTAGAGAATGGATACTGGAAGTTTAATGTATAAGCATTTCCATCAATACGTCCAAACTGCATCACCTGTAAAATATGTTAATATTTTTAACACATTTTCCTTTAAGTCCTTTAGAATTTCAAACTGAAGAGAGGCTATAAAGTACACAGAAAAATAGTGACCCTTGTAATACAAGTACAAGTTGAACACAGTAAAATCTCAGTGAACTAAGTGAGCCAATTAAACAGGTACATGCCTGTCTATTTATACTACAAATACCTCTAGCTCTTATTAACTGTGAGATTTTTGCCTGTTGGCATGGTGAAGAAACCCATAAGTGAATTGAGAGCATCCACAAGGAACACTCCTGGTAATAGAGTGAAAGTGAGAATATTGGCTTAATAGCTCGTGATGCAGATATAATAGTGCTGAAGAGTGGTTTTCACAAAATCATGAAATCAGACACTTTGTGATAAAGCTCTTTTCTAAAATTCTATGTCATTCTGTGTCTCTCTCTATTAACCCTTTAAAGACTGAATATCTTCTAACACACAAAATTCAATTCATACCTCACAATAAACACATTATGTCTCCACTACAAAGATCAACCAGTTGATGCTGTTTAGGGACGACATCACTGTTTACTGCAAGAAGCATATGAAAAACACACATACGCTGTGGGAAGAATGCAGAGTTATAGTACGTTAAAACAGCTAGTATGTAGAACCAATGGGATTTAAAAGGTTAAAGAGATGTGGGCAGTTATGTCATGTTAGAAGAATTTGCAAGATTTCTGTTTACTCACACTACAAATTTAAACATGAAACTCCAAGGGAGTCAGACACATCAAAATGGGCCATCATCCTCTGTTTTTACCTTTCAAATCTGTGAAAATGTTATGTTCCCATGATTCTCTATTCCATTCTGTCATTATCTAATACAGGAGTACACAAAATATGTTTCAAAGTATTATATTTTCATAATCTAATATAGATTTACCTGCTTCCCTCTGAACTCAATCTGGAAGTTCTTGGCTGACTCTTGGGTAACTCGACCTCCAAAGTCAAGTTGGTATACCTGACTGTTTTCATTCCACATGGGTGCCTTATTGTGCATCACAAATTCCCTCCGTTGAGGTTTCTGTGGAGTCGGACTACCTTCAGGGCCATCTACTTTGCACTTTCCACGTTTCAACTGCAACAAATGATAAACGATATTATATTCAATTAATGAAACAAACTGTTCATTAATTCAGTGGAAGTAGATGAAATTACAAAATTTTGGTATGTCTAGTCCAGAAATCCATGTTAAGTGGGTTCTTTGTCACCATAGCATGGCGCATCCTCAGGTTGTGGATGGAAAAGATGGCCTCCAGATATGGAGGATAGCTGTGAATATATTGAATACACAGACATGGACAGGCAACAAGGGGTGGTCCTGCAGACTGGTGGTTGGGCGTTTGGCCAACAGCTCCTCACCGTAAAAAATAAACTTGTTACAAGATGACACAAAGGGCCTGACACCTGGATGGATTATGTGGATAAAATACCTGTGCTAAAGAAAATAGTCATGAGATTTGGTACATGGAATGTAAGAAGTTTGTACAGGGCAGGTTCTCTCGTGACAGTGGGGAAAGAAATATCAGAATATGTTGGATTTAATGGGGGTACAGGAGGTCAGATAGGCAAGAGATGGCACCAAATGAGCGGGTGAATATACATTTTTGTATGGAAAGAGAATGAGAGTCATGAATTAGGCACAGTTTTTTGCACATAAGAGAATCATATCAGCAGTTAAGTGGGTAGAGTTTGTTAGTGATAGGATAGAGGTCACTGGAGTGATATCACTGACGATACAAAGGTTCTACAAAGAACTAGAACATGTATTAGATATATTCCCAAAATACCATATGAAAATTTTGTAAGGAGATTTCAATGTTGAAGTAGGCAGGGAAGATATTTTAATACGAACAACTGGAAATGAGAGTTTGCACAAAATTAGCAATGGTAATGGAGTTACAGTAGTCAAAGCGGCCTATGTAGTCTAGAGGTAACGTTCCCACCTCATGACTCGTAGTATGCGGCGGAGGTCGTCGAATTTTTAAGGGTGGAAAAATTCAGGGAACAAGTCCTCCGGGAGGGACTTTAAGCCATACGTCCCGTGTCATAGCTTTACGGCACGTAAAAGAACCTCATATCTCCAAAGGAGGTCACTGAGCCAAATTAACGAACGTTTCCCGCCCAACAGCAGTCACTAATACCTCCGGTAGATGGGGGAAGCATTATAGATACCTCTCAGCTAAGTAGAGCCAGTCTCGCTGGTTGGGTGGGACTGATGGTAAGCACCAGTACCGGTAGGATATAGAGACTGGTAAAAATCATAGAGGGAAGCACAATGGACCAATACAGGTCTCAGGGCATGGGGAAACCCACCCTCTCCAATAACTAACTAACTAACTAACTAACTAACTAGAGTAGTCAACTTTGCCACAACCAAAAATCTGACTGTCAGAAGTACAACGTTCCAACACTGTAACATTCATAAATTTACTTCGACATCTCCTGATGGAAAGAATCAAAACCAAATTGACACTATTTTGATAGACAGGAGATGGCAATAAAGTGTACTTGATGTCTAATCATTCAGGGTAGCAGACTGTGATACCAACCACTACCTGGTGGTGGCAAAAGTTAAGGGGAAACTGGCAGTGAGTAAACAAACAATGCACAGATTTCATGTAGAGAGGTTCAATCTAAAGAAATTAAATGAGGTAGAGGTTAAAGAGCAATATTGTGCTGAAACATCAAATAGGTTCGCAGCTTTGGAAAATTTAGACAATGAGGCAGGGACACTGAAAGAACTGTTCAGAGTTCACCTCCCTGATTGAAAGCTGATTGATGATTCAAGTGACGGGCAGGTCCAGCAGAACCTGGGCATATGTAGGCACATAATGATCAGTGAAGATTGGAACCTGGCCAGTCGGTTAATCAATCAATCAAAAATTAGATGGGCGTTAGGTACCTTCAAACAATTTAAGTCTGCGGGAAGAGATGAAATTGAATTTGATTATACCAAGGCTAAGGCTTATCGTCCTATCAGCCTGTTGTCTTTTCTTTTGAAAACGATGGAGAAAGTAGTAGATAGATACATTAGGGATGGTGCATTGAAGATTCATTCTCTGAACCGAAATCAACATGCTTACCAAATAGGTATATCTACTGAAACCGCACTGCATAGTGTGGTTACACGCATAGAAAATGCCATCAAACACAAGGATATTGCCCTTGGAGCATTCCTTGACATAGAGGGAGCCTTTGACAGAAACTCTTTTGACACAATAAAACAGGCTGCTGAAAGGCATGGCATTGAGCCTACAATATGCAGATGGATCTGTGCTATGCTGGAACTATAAGTGCTACATTGTCTGGAGAGACCCTAAGAGCGTCTGCGGTGAGAGGGTGTCTGCAGGGAGGTGTGCTCTCCCCTCAGCTGTGGAGCCTGGTCTTGGATGATCATCTTTGGGAGCTCAACAGTATAGGTCGTTTCACAGTAGGATATGCTGACAATATAGCAATCCTAATAAATGGGAAATTCCCTTATATTGTGTCACAGCTCTTACAAACAGCCCTGCACACAGTTCAACAGTGGTGCAAAAGAACAAACTTGTCTATCAATCCAAACAAGACGGTAATTATACCTTTACTAGGAGAAGGAATATAAAGGGGCTCAAGGAACCAACCCTCTTCAGTCAAGCGATCCAGCTATCCAGTGAAGTCAAGTACCTTGGAATAAAATTAGACAAGGAACTGACATGGAAAAAGGAGCTGAACAAGGCTATTAACAAGGCCTATAAGGCCTTCTGGACATGCAGGGGCACATTTTGAAAAACCTGGGGACTGAAACTAAAGGTGGTGTATATTGGATATACACTGCTGTAGTAAGACCCATAATTACCTATGCTGCCACTATGTGGTGGCCTAGAGTTAAACTTAAACAAGTCAGGCTGAACTAAGCAAACTGCAAAGGATGGCCTGCTTGGGAATAACGGGAGCAACGAGAACAGCTCCAACACCTGCAATGGAAATCCTACTAGGACCCCCCCCCCCCACTGCATCTGCAGATGGAAGCAGAGGCCAAGTTAGGAAATTACAGATTACATTGCAATCATCAATGAAGACCTAAATCTGAAGGTTTTGGACATGCATACATGACTCAGGACATGATAAAGGAACCCATCCTACAGATGGGATCTGATAAAATGATACCGAAACATGTCTATGATAAAACCTTCATGATCAGATTTCCTGATAGAAGTTAATGGAAAGAAGGATTTCAACCCGATAGAAAGGTGGGACTAATCTGGTATACAGATGGTTCCAAGACAAATAAAGGCACTGGAGCTGGAGTGTATTATGGAACTGGGCGGAAACATAGTTTCGGCCTTGGTCAGTATACAGCAGTATTCCAGGCAGAAGTGTATGCCATTAAGGCATGCGCAGTTGTGAATTTAGATAGAAACTACAAAAATACGAATATCTATATTCTATCAGATAGTCAAGTTGGAATCAAAGCACTTAGTACACACCAAACCACTTCAAAATTGGTTTGGGATTGCCACCAATCACTCACACAACTGGCCAGACATAACAGAGTTCAGCTGATATGGGTGCCAGGCCATGAGGGTGTTGCTGGGAATGAAACTGCAGAGAGCCGACAATAACAGGATCTGAACAACTGTTCATAGGACCTGAACCAGCTTGTGGCATCTCAACTGGAGTAGCCAAGAAAGCGATCATGGACTGGACTAATAGAAATCACAAAAAACATTGGGAATCCACAACTGGACTCAAACAGGCAAAAGGATTTATATCAGGACCCTCTGCCAAAAGAACGTGGGATGAGTGGTTGGATTACTTACAGGACACTGCCACCTAAAAGGGCACCTTTTCAAACTGGGGCTGACAGACAACCCAACTCTTGTAAGCTGCCTATAACATGAACCAGCCACGCACATGTTATGTGATTGTGAGGCTGTAGCTTACCTAAGATATCGCCACCTTGGTCAGTTCTTCATGGAACCAAGTGACTTTCATGAGGCCCCCATAAATAAAGTCCTACATTTCAGTCAAAGTGTAAGATTAATAAAGGGTTAATCCAACGGGGAAGCATAACAGATCACTGAAGGTCGCAGTGCAAGGTCTGGTCTCTATGGCTCACCCCTCACACTCATACTCAAGAGGGTTTGATACCCAAGATGCAAGATAATGTAAATGTCTTGGGATCCATTATTGGGTATTAGATATGCTATTTTAACTGTGCAAGTTACAAAAAGTAAGTAAAAGTAAAGCTATCCCTGTACCAGGCCATGAAGGCCTATAGACCTTGAGGGTCCCACATTATCTAGACAATCAGCTCAAAGATGGTGGTAAGGTTGTCAGCCTTACGCACCACCCACGTTTATTTAATTAATTCCTGGTAATCATTTCTGTTAGAGGCTGAGTCAACCCCAGGGCCATAGTGCGGCAGGAAGGATTAGGTCAACTGATAAAATCCAATGACCTCTTTGGGACTTGAACCCGATTCAGTATGGATTTGGAAAGAGATAGTTGTGGACAGTTTCAAAGTAGCATAGTATTTTGTTGTAAAGGATGACAAAACCATAAACGCCTAAATCAGAAAAGTTAGTAATCAGGCGAAGATTATAAGTCAGTACCTTGGAAATAAAAATTCAGGATGTGTTCACAAGCCAAAGCTTGTATTCTTACAAGAAGACATGCAGATTTTCCGAATTTTTTTAGAAAATTCCTAAACCAATACCAGTCACTATAACCATAAACAACAGCATGATTTCATGCCACAGCAAACATAGTTTACATGACTTAATCATATACATTAAGAGCTATAACTTCCTTCAAGCAAAACTTCATCCCTTATTTTACTAAAAATCAACTTACCCAGTGTCATATTTAAAGCTGTATGTCCCTGGACCAATCTAAATACGGAGGTCCATATCGCTGACAAATGTAGGTTATGACAATTCTTTTTGTTGTTGTTGTTCATATTTATTATGTTTTTTGTAACTGTATAGAAATAAATATCTTAATAAAATATGGGGATTCTAGTACCGTTTTGTGTTGCACAAACAGCGACCACCCCAGTTGCTTAAATCTTGCCCTGCACTTACAAAATGATAGATACTGTCAACCTGTTGAATTATATCATGATGACTTTTTCCTTCCATGGGTAATTTTGTGATATATGGATTTCCTTGGTTACGATTAATTACTTCTTGCTCAAACGTTTCATTGAATTTTTTCATTTCATGTTCGATGCGTTGGGATATAACTGGTATTTTACGTGCAAGCTTGAAAACTGTCTTTTTGCCACGGGTTACCAAACCTAACACATAAATAAACTGTATTAAAAACT